GTTGTAGCTAAAAGGATTTCAATTTAAGGCACACTAAGGTAAGCTAAGCTTATATTCTTCTTGTTTTAAATAAGGCTGTGGGAATTTCCTCGCTATTTCCCGGGAAAGGGCGCTAATCACCGTGTCTTTCAAAGCCTGATTAGCTAATAATCACGGTTAACTACCTAGATTTTCTAAATTTATTCACATAACCAGGAACCAGACCCTGAGGCAGTCCAAACTCTATCCCCGTTACTCGACAAGCAACAGTCATTCCTATTTACCCCTGGGCTTACTTATTTTCTAACCAATGGCGTACAAAACGGTCTTGAACTCTACGCTATTTTGATATCTAGAGAGCGCTAATGGTTCTACAAATATTTTCTTTTGATTAATCTATGGAGTAATTGCTTCCTCTAACCGTATCAAAGGAAAAGAGGTCAAGTGCTAATTAGTACTCATTTAGATTCTAATTATAACTTGGAATGTATTGATAATGCATAGATAGGGTTAGTTCTTTCTATCGTTGACAACAAACAGCATCAATATGGTCGCCATTTTGGATTTTTAAGAAATTATGGGACGTCCAGGGAACAAAAGCAAAAAAAAAAAAAAAAAAAATTCTCGGACAATTTCTGTACTTCAAACGTTAAAATTTGAAAATCATTTCTTCTTACCATCTAAACGTGTTATGTTTGCAATTGTTTTTCACATTTCAAGACACAATATTCAATTTCATAGCATTCTAAAAGCCCTGTTGTCTATTGATTCTTGTGTAGTGGCCGCAGGGCATCCCATAGTTTCTTAATTGATACTCAGAGCAATAGAAKTCAAGATGGCGACCGTAGTTAAAAAAGGTTCTATATTAACCAACAATAAGAAGAATATCTCTTATTTTCAAAAGGATTGTTTAAATAAGTGTTTTGTTGCACACAGGTCTAAATGCTGCTCTATATCTCTTACATAGTTTGCACTGACAAGCTAGCAGTAAAGCTGACTTTTTTCACATTGTTTTTAAGACATGGACTATTCATCTATTCAAAGCTTCTTTTAGTCTTACTCAAGGCAAGAGGGACAATGTTATATTTAAAGAACATTTCACAATTAAGCCAGAACAGATCTTCGTTGTCAACAATTAGGCTAACGACTCGACAACGCCGATATGTGAGTGACATTCATATCTACAGGTCTACTTACACTTCAATAGGCGGAAAAATCTTCAAATTTGTTCACTCGAGGCTAAAAGCCTTCTCCAGTTTTCCAAGTACAGCAAAGGAAGAAAAATAGACGAGTATTTAGTATTCATTACCTCCAGGTGAATGACCTCGGTCATTCGTTGCTTTTCGATCAAATCCCTAAATGCCTTTTTAGAATCTAATCAAGATATGAAATTTCTAGATAACCTGCACCGCGGTCTCTTTATTTAAACTCAAAGATAATTGATTTATCTGCTACTGTGTTGTCATTGAATACTCCCAAACTTTATTTAGCACTGTCTAAAAGCAGAGAGACAAGATGCTAGAGGGTGTTTAAATGTATATGGGCCGGATTACCCTCCTCATAAATATTGCTTGCAGTCCCTCAGGGAGGCGAGAAGTCATTCGTATAGTCTTCCGCAATCTTATAACTTTAATTTATTATATCTTTAAAATTTTGGGATGCGGGAATGGAGAGAGAGGACATCTCTGTGTCCATGGCTGACAGAGAAGTGTGGAGGCGTGTCATCGAATGTGCCACAGCCCACTAGGGTCGCCATATGATGGTGATGATGAAAAATCTTATGAGAACTTTTGTTAATTAAAATGAACTTGATTTTATTCCGACTGAATCCCCGAATTTATTTCGAGTTAAGTGCCGAATGTGTCTAAGTAAATCTCGGATTAAACTCGAGTAGATGCCGAATGTATTCAGACATATTCATGTAGTTTCGTATAAGGTTTAACTTTGAAGTAAAATCTATCGTATATCATACATTTTTCTAGAGATATAAGAATGTCTCAATGACCGCTGAATTATTTAAAAATTAAATTTAATGGAATCAAAGTTGTTTAAATAATACTCAGCAGTCGTCTCTATGTCATACCCGGAAAATCTTTAGGCAATCTTGATGTAGAAACTGTGTCGCTATAGCTTTGTTGAGGAACTGCAGTGATCGGAACTATAAAGTCGGTATGGTCCGACCTTTAATTTTACCGCCTTTTTTATCTTATCAAAGAGGTTGTTATTCAACTGAGGACAAATTGTCGATGGGGAACAACGGAACGGAACAACGCCCACAATTATAATTATGCAGCCGTATTTCAAAAGAAATGGTCTCTGGCATTTACGAAAAAGCCGGACAAACGTTCCGGCGATGGCTATTGATTCTTAAGAGCAATATTAACTCTTCAAAGGCAGAGCGCAAAACTACCGCTACCATAAAACGATATTTTTCAAGTTGTCCGTATCTTTYAACAGCAGGTGGGTAAATATTATTCATCCATATTGAATAAGCTTATTTATGCCGTGAATTCAAGTCACTGGTCGTTGCAACCACGGCACACACCCCCCGGCAATACCGGGGAATAATCCAGTTTCGAATTCGACAGTGCTCTGTGTTAGCCTCATTTGTGGGCAAAATATTACTAATTGTGAGAATAAAAGTGTGAGATTTCAAAATCAATTTTATTGTCTTTCTTCACAAATTCCATGGGCTATCAATAAAACAAAAGAATATGTTGCTTGGTTTTGAGGCTAACACAGAGCAAACCAGAACTCGAAATTGGAGTATTGACATTTCATTTCTCTCTTACAAAAAAACTACTTTTTCCAGCTCTTAAAGTATGTATTATTGGCATGTCAATATTTTGTCACAGCAATTTTAATTCAGTGATTAGTAATAATCGTTAATAGTAATGAATCAATATTATAATTTGCGTACTAATTCTGCAATATGATAGGTAAGTTATGTCGCCATTAGCAGAAAAGATGGAAACAAAACACTCCAGAAAAAAGTGCTCAACGAAAGCTGCCTTGCATCAATCAGCTTATTTTAGATAAAATTGTTATTTGAATCCGATCACTTTTAGAGATAAAATACAACAATAATTAAGCAATCTTTTTTCCCTTTTTTCCCTAGCGTATAGTATCGCCTAAAATGATCTCTTCACGTTTATTCTGCACAACACGATGCCAATGAAGGAGAACTTCACTATTTTTTCCCTAGCATGTATCAGGGTTWTTTTCACTGAACTAAGTACATTTTTTCAGAATTTAATCTAAGATATTGCAAGATCAATAAATGGCGCCAAATAAACGAAAATCAGCGAGTAAACATTCAAAACTTTCTTATCATTAGTAGTACGATCTATGTAATACCTTGATATGGTTCTCGTTACAGTTCAGACGTTGCGGCAATCATAAGAATCAACTGTAAGACCAAATATCAAATCCTTGTTTTATATTTTCAAAATGAAGATTTATGTCAGCCAAGACAGTGAGATATATAAAGCGTTAATCATCCTCTAAACTGGAAATCTCAATTTTCAAAATCTTTTCTTTCTTACCTGGTAGTGGGAAGGGAAATCGGATCGCAGACTGAAATACTGTTTATTTATTTATGAAATGCTTTATCTTTTAAACCCTGCAGGGCATGTTTCCATATCAGCAGTTGTCTGACTCGCATACGTGTGTGATAATCACTAGATATCATGTTAACTTGAACCTAATACAATCCTTGTTTTAGCCATCTTTTCACAAAGAAACCGACATTTTAGATATAGCAGATATTTATTTAGCAGATATAGTATGCAAAACTGGCCAAGAATTGCTAAATTTCCTTTGTTGATTTAATACATGCAGAAATTGTAATTTTGCACACTGATTATAAGAAATGATCTTGTGAATCGTGTAAAGCAATCAATCAGTCAATCAATCAATCAATCAATAATTAATCAATCAATCAATCAATCGATTAAACAATCAACTTATCAATCAATCAATCAATCATCAATCAATCAATAATCAATCAATCAATCAATCAATCAATCAATCAATCATCAATCAATCAATAATCAATCAATCAATCAATCAATAATCAATCAATCAATTAACAATCAATCGATTAAACAATCAACTAATCAATCAATCAATCATCAATCAATCATCAATCAACCAATCAATCAATTTAGGATTAGTTAGCGTCAAGCAACACTGATGCGTTTTCGTAATTTTTTGTGTGTATCGTTTCCAGTTCTCATTTATTATCATTCAAACATTTTTAGAAAGAGCGTGGCTCACATTTAATGACATGCTTTGCTGGTGAAAATGGCTTCTCTGCACATCCGTTGTTTTGCAATAATTGCGCACGTGTTAAGCCGAGTTAAATAATGTACACTTAGCCGTCTCCACTAGTTTGAGCCAAAAAGACTAACGTATAAAGTCTTGCCAATTTCTTTCCTATTCAATTTTACATAGTGATAGTTTGAGTGTCGATCTTACCGTTCTTCTTCAGTAGTCACGGACTCATCGATCGCTGACTAATAAAACTGATCAATTATCAAAAAAAATCACCATGAAAATAAATACACTTGTCTGTGTTTTCCTTTCTTTGAGTCTGTGAATCATACCTGCTATTGTGAGCGTGTTTGTCTCTGCGTTGGTCTTTAATTACTGACAACATTATATYATAATCTTTTTTCTCGTGAAATTTCGGGTTTTGAGTTTCAAATGTGGGCCCCAAAATAAACATGTCAACAATGCTAGAAATAATTGCTTGGATTCCATGAACTAGTTTTTACTATGACAAAAATGTCAAATTATGCCACAATACTGAAAAGAGATATATAATAATTTTACCTCAAATAGTGCCGAATATAAAACGTGGTAGCCCTTCGGTTCCATTTTATTCAATTAAGATTTATAATTGGACACTGACTATTTTGGTCCATGAGGGGCCGGCAAAATGCTGTTTTTAATTCGGTGTTCATTAACTATTACGATTTCCGCCATTTTGTTTTGTAAGACGGTTTTCATCTGCTTACCTTTAACATTGCTGGCTCGCAAAATGGAGAGCTAAATTTGTCGTGTCCCCTTAGTCCAGCTAATCGATCAATCAATCAAGCAAGCAAGCATCGATCCTGAGCATAGTACTGAATTGGAATAAAATGCTCACCTGACACTATTACCTACTATTGCGTTATATCAAAACAGCCAACCCCACTTCGTGATATTGAATATAAGCACTACGACACTCCCCAAAATATAAATTATAACAGACAATAACACGCCTTCATGATATAATTAACAATTCTTTTCAGGTTTTCTATTATTATTAATATTTATACTTATGACTGCATGTTAAAGCTAGACTATTAAACCTTATATTAGACTGCTAAAAATACACCTTTAATATTAGTAGTCTTTCTTTTGCGATGTCTATAGTTTAACATTGACTATTTTTCATTACAAATGCAATTTTCCAGTGTGTTTTTAAAACTTGCATGCGATAGCCACTGTTGTGCGGTTATTTGCATATAGGAGAGACACCTGATACGAGCTTGTGCAGTCTTCCGCACTAAATGCAGTAAAATTTTGAATATTTCTACCTCTCTTACATTTAAAGCTGTTTTAGACGCATACTTGTATTTTGACTCCCATTTGCAGGCAATTGATATTTTGCCTTCTTAAAAGTTCCTTTATTTAATGTAAATAGCAATTTGATCAGGCTGAATTGAGCTCGGTTTGCGCTTGTCTTGTGTTTTGCTTCACATAAAGTTTAAAGTGATTCTAATAACCCTTTTAAATAGTGCAATAAGTACAGTGTATCGGTAAAATTGATATACCCAAAAAGACAATGAACAACGCGTAAAATAAAGAGTAATTAAGTGTAGTTCGCTAAAGTGTATTTCACAGGTTTGAAAACCTCTTTGATACTATGATATTTCTATATATATAGTGGTAAAAATTACCTTTCTTAACTGCTGTTGTCTCCATAGAACCGCACCGATGTTGGCCTCAAATGTTACCTTGACAGTCTGGAATGGCAATATGTTTTTCCAAACAGCAAAACTGCGCAGTTTTAAGCTTTTAGCGTGGGAACATTTCTTTAAATAATTCAATAGGTATTTTTAAATGTTTTCTAAGAGCATGTGATTAATTAAAGACAACTTTCTAACAATTAATAAGGATTATTTTTATCCGTTATGCTGCGTGGGTTAACACGTTTTCTGCTTATTTCCTTCCATTCGATTGTTACACTTTTAAAAATATATAAACTTAACTTGAGTAAAGTGTTCATAAGACAACGAAAAACAAGCCGACATCAAAGAAAAATAGATTGACGCGAAAAACAAATAAATATTAAAATAAACAGGTGGAAAAAGGCGTTTGTCTGACAATAACAGCATGCATAGAAGTCCATTTAAAGTCAGTGACTTGCATCTGTTCAGCCAAAAAGCGTAGTCTTGCAATTACATATATATAAGAAACCGTGTTAAAAATTGAGCCTGAGGATAAACATGGAGGAGGCGAGTTAACTCGTTTTTGAGCTAGCGATTCCCTTTTTAATCTGATAGAAAAAATGGGAATAGAATAGAAATCTTATCACACTAAAATCCATGTGATGATCTGATATGAGCAAATAATGGTCACATTCAACCGAAATTATTAGACAATATACACAGAGACACCTACCTCAGCAATACCTAAGTTATCATTTGAAAAGCTGACATATCTGGCAATAAAGTAGCCAGAAAAGCCTTAAGGTTTAACAGCAGCGTCCGGTATGGCGACTTTATGTTCATTTAAAGATGAAATATTAAAAAAATATGCAGACTGACAGAATAATATAATAATCTCATTTTCCATATTATTCCCCTACAAAAACGTTTCCTTGTTCTCAGTTGGATTTTTTTGTTCTCAATTGGTCTATTTTTTGTTAAAAAAAGCTTAAGTTCGAGCTTTCATGGAACCTTTGAAGCTCGAAGACATGTTGCGAAAATGTATATTCGACTGAATGGATGTTATTATCACAATATTGACAGGAAGGCGTTAGCCAACGTGACCGTCTCGAGCTGAAAACGTGCTGTTCATACACTGAAAAACGTGCCCTAATCATGTGCTACACGTGCTTGCGAAGGTCCTAATTTGTGTATTTTAAGATCCTATTATTCGCTTCTTTTTAAAAACTCTTTCATTGCGCTAAAACTGTACTTCGTATTCCCTCTCATCCTAAATGCACTAGTAGTGCGTGCATCGGCTGTGCTTCAAACGCTTAATGCGCGTCAATTTGTGTTGTCATCATAATTTAATTAATTATTCCGCAATATATCTTTGTTGCGCTAATCGTGTGCCTTTATTAATTGTATAGTAGTTATATATATGTTATATCGGTGTAATTTTACAATCGTGTCGCAATTGAATTCAATCGTACTTCAATCGTACTGTAATCGTACTTCAATCGTGCTGTAATCGTACTTCAATCGTGCAGTAATCGTACTTCAATCGTACTGTAATCGTACTAAAACCGTGCTGTAATCATACTTTAATCGTGCCTCAATCGTTCTGAAATCGTATTTCAATTGTCAATTGCACAATCTCGCGACGATACAATCGTGATGCAATCGTACTTCAATCGTACTGCAATCGCACTTCAATCGTGCTTCAATCGTACTTCAATCGTCAATTGCGAAAACTCGCGATACAATCGTACTTCAATCGTTCTTAATCGTACTTCAATCGTGCTGCGATCGTACGTCCTTTCATAATATATAGATGTTTTGCTTATACCATGATTATACTACATTCCATACAGTTCCATATTGCGCTTTAGCACAGCTCGCGATACAACCGTGGCTTACTCAACGTGTTACAATTACAGTTCAATCAGTGTGTGATCGTGCGGCGACAGACAGCAATCAAGCTGACAACTCCCTCCGTGCGCTTTGGTTGTGTGGAAAACGCTCAATCGTTCTGCAATGATGCTGCGTACAGTAGTACCCAAGAACCTGCTGAAACTGTTGTCAAGGAGACGGTAGTGTTGGTAACAGTGTAGTCACATGCGCAGTAATCGTCTGGATTATTGTGCAATCGTACTTTGCATTAAATAGTGCGTTGGCCAAAACCATTTTGCAATTTTGATGCGACCGTGCCCTAATCCTGCAATAGTTGCATTTTAATTGGATCATAGTTGTCTTTTAATCCATAATATTCTGAGCGTGAAGAAACTATACTTTGATCGCGAAAAGAAAACATTACCATTCGATGGATAAATAAAGGTCATATTTAAAAAAAAGTGTGTTTGTTTTTTTGAACTTTGATTGCAAGAGCGCCTAAGCATATGAAAAAAGCCTGTGAAATTTAAATACTTGAGAAATACGATTTCAATACACTGTACGATTGTGGTAGTTTGGTAAAGACCAAAAACAAAAACAAACAAAAAAAAAACTAGGATATCAGTGTGTGCGGTTAACCGAATTTCATTATACAAAGAGGATTGCCTTAATTCTGTAAACCCTAATCACACGATTTTCTTGTTAGTACTTACATTGGTTCAAACTGGCCTAATGACTGTGGTCAGCTTCCGTGATACTATATCATAACATTGCTAGATAACTGCGTGATTTCTTCGTCGATTTGCCAACACATTGAAAGCTTGGTTGAGACCTCTGTGGTGTCCTCGCGATTTCTGATGAGGTCTTCATGATCATCCATGAATGATGTAAACGTCTTTTCGTGATAAAGACACTTAAAACSTCACGTGAATACAAAGATGATTTATATTTGAATGAGATTTCGCGGAAGGCATATGAATATTGCTTTAGCTGTAATGATTAAAGTGATTTTAGACAGCTTATGCCGTAAGATTATTTGTTTTCCTCAAGTGTTTTAAGAACATTAAGTGACGATTTGCGCGTTTTTTAAACGAATGAGTCATCCTTGGACGTGAATCGAGACTTATGCCGTAATAAAAGTCTAATATAATTCGAAAATTGATGTTTAAAACGTGATGGTTGGTGACGGCACGTGAATTATGTCATGTGATCCTTTTTACTTAATGTGATGGAGTCTCTTATAACTCTTTATGCTGGGTTTTAAACAGCAAAGAATTTTAGGCCACACCCTGATATAGGTGGCTATTCATACAGCCGTCMAAGTCATTCCATTCCAACGATATCGTAATTGTTTAAGCAAGATTAGCCTCGCGCGCTGTGAACGATTATACTGGAAGTTTCTATTAGATCGTTTAGATATTACCTTWGCACATWTAYTGGTGATTGAGGAGCAAGGACGCCAGATCRCTAGACACTAAATCTCAGAATGCTAAAAAATGTATAAAAAATATAATTGTAGCGCCAACATTATATTAGCTTTATCAAAACGAGTGGTTTTCATAAATCTCCAAAATAWAGTGCMATAGTTGAAGTGGAATAAACTATGATAAACATGAAAWGACCAAGAAAAAACGTACAAAATAAACGAGCAAATGTAATACGGTAAACTGTACTTCACTCGTTTATGGGAACTCCTCTTTTATTAGACTAGTTAAGGGTATTTTTGCCAGTGTGCTGATTCTGGGAACGACGACAGCTGCAAATCTACGACTTCCTTCACACCCATAATTATGTTTCAGAAAATAACAACTTATTTTACCAACCACGAGGAAACCAAACATCTCTTAGCTCGCGTACTTCAGGACTATAGCGTGCTTATTATTCCATTATCTCCTATTTTGCAGGTATGAGATGGATTTTACTAGGAGCTCTCAAAGCATTCAATTTCCACAAAAAAAAGATCAATTAATGTATCATGGAACATATCCTGTAGGTTGCACCTCTCGGTGAAGTTATGTTCCTTTGTGTCTTTTACAGATGTCAACAAAATAGTTTATATTGAACTACAAATATATTGACGACCGTAGCAAATGATGTGTCATGCGTACCTTACTTTGACGATGCTGTACCTCTTATCTTCTTCTGAATTCGTTTTTGCCTTCTCAAGAGTAAAGTACGTCACGCCTTAGTTATCTACCCTCATTTGACTGATGATTAAGATGATCGGGTTTGTAATTCTCACACGACAACTTGTCCACAAGTGAATCTCTATTCAGTTGTCTCTTTCTTCGTGTCGACTGTCAAAATGGCAAAACTTTGTAAATACGTATCGACAGAGTTCGGAACTCGATATTATTTCCAGGTYAATTCGATCAACGTATGCCCAGCTGAAAGGATATAGAGTAAGCCGTGTAGGAATCGATAAAGATATGGTATGCTAACACACCATAAACACAACATATCCCTCAGCATATCAGTTACAAATAATGCAGAGACGACTGACTTGCCAGACACATGAGGGAATTCCACCGCCATAATGATGATGGACATATGTCAATCAGTTTCTCTTATCCAATAAGCGCGCGCGATT